CGCGGGGGGCCTGATCGAGAAGGACGAAGCGAAGCTTGAGAAGGAACGAGCCGAGGGCGACGGCTTCTCGCCCAACTGGGGCCCCGCCCTTCGGCGCTCGCGAGACCTTCGGAAGCGGCCGTGCCAGCGCTTGAGCCAGCAGGGCCTGCTGACCCGGCGCCAGCCGCTGAGGGCGCGCGCGGGCACCTTCGCGGCCAAGAAGAAGGATGGGCACCAGAGACTCATCATTGACGCGCGAGCGGCGAACAGGGCGCACCGACTACCACCTACTACTCGGTGGGGGTCATCACGCTGCATGGCAGACCTGGGCTTCTCCGACCCCCGCTGGAGGGCCCCCGGCTTCGGAGGACTGATCTCGGGGCTTTCAGCCAGCCCGACCTGGCTCGAGGGCGACGTCGGGGACTGCTTCTACAATCGCACGATCCTCGAGTTTGCCTCCTGGTTCGGCTTCGAGGACCGCGTCGACGCGGAGGAGTTGGAGAGCGCGCGCTGCCGGCCTGCGACCATCTGGGACGACGCCGAGGGGGCGAAGACCGCGGTCGCGGACGGCGAGACGTCGCACCCCTGCATGGCGGCGGCGCGCATGGGCTGGTCCAGGGCGCTCTACTTCGCCAACGAAGCCGTCGCCTGTCGGGTGGAGAAGACGCTCGACGACGGCCCGGGCCAGGTCATGAGGGGGAAGCAGCCCGCCCCCGCCCTGAGGCCATGCAAGTGCGTGGCTGGCGTGCGCGTTGACAACGCGCAGGTGATCGGGGGCTGTCAGGCTGACGCTACCAGGCAGATGGGCAATATTGAGAACAGTTTTGATGATGATGATCTACCGTTTGACATCGAGTCGAACGACGGAGTTGAGATGCAGACGCTTGGCTTGTTGTACCACTAGCAAGAGCGGGAGCTACGACGTGTCGCTCGGCGCGCCCGGCGGACCTACTTGGCGGGGCGTGCTCTACTGCGCCGACGCAAGCTGCACGGACATTCTCTTCCGTGTTGCTCGGGCACGTCGCGAACCTGAATCAGCTCTGCCCCGCGGCCATGTCCGCCTTGAGCGCCTGCTGCCGCTTCATCGACGAGGCGCTAGAGAAGCCAAAGCGGACGCGGCCCTCCGCGAGGTCAGAGATCCGCTGCGCGATGAACCTTCTCTTCTTGATGGAGGCCGACCTCAGCGCCAAGTACTCGGACCCGGTCAACTGCGGAGGCCCCTCGACTCGCGGCGACTCCCTGCGCGTGACGAAGGGGGGGCTTGAGGAGATCCGCGAGGCGCGGAGGTGGCGGGGGCGCTGGCGGTGCCGGGGCGCGCCGCTGATCGAGGGCCAGGCGTGCGAGGGGCTCGGCTACGTGCGGGGCGACGCGCCGGGCTCGGCCGCCAGGCCGCTGACCGCCTCCGGCCGGGCCCTCCGGGGCCAGGCGGAGGCGCGCTCCACGCCGCGCCGCCGGGCCGCGAGGGGCGAGGCGACCCGGGCGAGGGTGGCCTTAGACTCGGGGATCCCCGCGCTGGCTGACGGCCGGACTGATCGGCGTCGCTGCCACTTGGTGGCGGCCGATCGCTGGCGCTGGCAGGACGAGCACATCAACCTGAAGGTGGCGCGCGTGGCCCTGATGGGGCTGCGGAGGCACTGCCGATCCGTCAAGCTGCTGGGCTCGAAACTGCTGACGCTGAGCGACAGCCAAGTCACCGTGCGGGCCTTTTGAGAAGGGCCTCTCTAGCGCTGGTCTACAGGCACTGTGCAGACGGGCAGCGATCCACCGTCTTGGCGGGCAGATCTCGTGGTGTCTCCGCTACGTCGAGACGGATCGGAACCCGAGTGACCTCGACTCGCGTCGGTGTGACGACAAACGGCCGAAGGTCGCGCCTGCCTAAGCTCCAGCGGCGGCAGCTGCATGCCACGCTGGCTGCGCGGCTGCCAAGGGGCCCGCCGGCGCACTTACGGGCTACTGTCTCGAGGGTGAGCTGACAGAGCCTCGTCCTTCATCATCATCTTCGTTGCCGACATCTGCTCCGCGTATCTCTCGCCCTACAAGTCGGAACGAGCCTGGTGATCCAGCTTGTTGTGTGGAGCCCTTCGGGGGCCTGGGCTTGCTGGCGCGAACCTGCAGGGGCATGGGACTTCCTTTTGCTGATTCAGTTGGTATCAAAGATGGATGCGAGTTTGACTTGTCTCGGCATGCCACACAGCAATATCTATATACATATATGTATATATCTGTGTTTATGTAAGTATGTGTATATATATATAATATATATGTTGGATTCGGGCCGCAGAGGCCGCCTACAGGGTGTGCATATCGGGACGCCTTGTAGGGGTATCAATAACCATGCACAGGCACGGGTTAGGGAACTTCTTGGGATCGATTTCGCTCTGTTTGCGACAACGCTGTGCCGCGCGCTTTCGCGGCGCGGGGCGTACTGGACCGTGGGGGGCCCCAGGTCATCGAAACTGTGGAACTTCGACCCCGCTGCTCGTTTTCGTGGGCCCCCGAACGTGACGGAGGCGCATTTCGATGTGAGTATGTATGGAACTGCCTATCGGAAGCCGATTCGGATTCTGACGAACCTTGGGGTCTTGAGAGCCCTCGGGGACCGACCCCGCATGCCACGCAAGCGCGCCATCATGTTACACGGTCATCTTGCACCTTGCTGCTGCCTATCCCTCGGCTCTGGTTCGGGGCCGGGCGGGCCTCCTGAAGGCCGCGCCCCCTCGGGCGGGCAGCCCGAGCGCGCCGGGGTTTGACCCGCGCGAGTTCCGCCATGGGCTCCTCCGATCGGCCGGCCGCGAGCCGCAGGCTGGAGGACGGGCGCTACGCAACCGGATCAGCAAGCGCCGCCCCTGTGACTGTCAGGCGGCTGACGCCTGCCACGACGGGAACCCCCTCGTCCAGTTCGGCCAGGATGACCGCCCTCGACGCTGGCGGGCCCGCCAGGACTGGCAGACAGCGTCCGCCTGGGAGGGGCCGCCCGCGCCAGCCGTCAGCTCCGCGCCGATTGGGGCCCATCCGAGCCCCGCGGCGCGACTCGCCGGTCATGGCGACGGTCTCGAACGCGACCCTCGAGAGGTACGCGGCGGCCGTGCACGAGTTCGAGGTCTACGCCGCGTCGAAGAAGCTCGATTTGCAGCCGCTCAGCCGCCTGGACAACGCCTTGGCCCAGTATTTCGTGGACATGTTCGACGACGGCTTCGGGGTCTGGGAGGGCCGCCAAACGCTTTGCGGCCGCAGGCTTCCGCGGCTCAAGACGACGGGCAAGGTGGACTTGCCGAAGGCGCTGGCCTCGCTGAAGGGCTGGGCGAAACGCTCGCCGGGCCGCATGCGCCTGCCCTTGCCCGACATCATCGTCGACGACATAGCGGTGGACCTGATCGAGCACGACCGGCCGATGATGGCCGCCGCGGTGTCGCGGCAGACGGACGCGCACATCCGACCCTTCGAGGTGGTCGAGCTCCGCCAGGGTCAGATGTTGCCGCCCGCCCCAGCCGCGAAGCTCGGCGCGCACTTTGGCATCGCCATCGCGCCCTCGGAGTGGTGCGAGGTAACCAAGACGGGAGGTCAGGACGACAGCCTCCTGGTCGGCGACGCGGCTCGCCCCTGGCTGACGCACGTCCTGCGGATCCTCTACCAGCAGAAGGCCGCCGACTCCCAAAAGCTCGTCGCTTTCATTTTGCCGGAGTACGAGCGGGAGATCAGAAAGGCCGCCGGCCGCCTGGGCGACTCGCCCCTGGGAGCGCGCCCGCGCGTTTTTTGCCATTCAGGGGCCTCCAACGACAAAGCGCACGGAAGACGGACCTTGAAGGTGGTCCAGAAGCGCGGCCGATGGGCATCGTCCGGTTCGGTGGCCCGCTACGAGAAGGGCGCGCTCATTCTCCAGCATCCGCGCAAGGTGACGCAGGAGAAGCAGAAGCGCGCGGCCCGCAGGAGCAAACGATTGCCTCAGCTCCTGCTCGACAGGCTTCGTAGCCCTCGGACCACCAGCACATGATACGGGCACCGGCTCAGAAGCGATCAAAGGATTACGCTTCGTGCGATGACATCGTTTGCCACTGGCCAGAGCAGTACTTGTCTGGACAACTTCTGTCAGAGGTGATTGTAAGACAAATTGGCCATTCATATCCACCAGCTTCGCTGAGATATGCACGTCTGGGCGTGGTTCTCAGGCCGTCTAGGGATGTGCTTAGTCGTTGACGTGAATGCCCATCGGCCCCTCCGCGCCCGCTAGTTTTTCAGCCTTGCTTCCGCTACCGCGGTGGCTCAAGTCCGCCCGCCGACAGCCACCCTCGAGCTTCAGTTGCACTGCTCGCAATTTGATTGATCCCGCTGGGCTCAGAAGCGGTCAAAGGATGACGCTTCGTGTGATGCAAAAATAGCTCCTGATACCAAACGTAGCTCCCAACTTGAAAACATAGTTTGTCGCTTTCTGTAGCCTGGCAACCTGTGGGTCTTCCTCCGCCTCCAAGGAGGCTTCGAGACTCCCAACGGCAGTGGAAACATGAGAAATGGCACCATGCCAGACTGATCCTCAAGTGTGCGAGGACCTTGCCAAGAAAGCTAAGGCCGACGCGTAACTCTTGACACTGGAGCCTTCGGTCGAGTTCTCTATGGTTGCCGCTTCGTGTGTGTGAGTCCTCAACGACACCGTCTTGCATATCTAGTGGCCTTGGGCCCATCCTACGCTTGTGCCTAGGCTATGGATTAGAAGCTACAGGAGGAGGTAGGAGGAGGAAAGGTCGGATGATAAGGAGGATGAGGAGATCGGAGGAGAAGGCATATAAGGAAGAGGAGGATGAGGGAGGGAGGAGGAGGAGGAGGAGGAGGATCCAGGATGTAAGGGAGGAGGTGCGAGGAACAGAGGACAATAATTGACTCAGGGATGGCACATCGCGCAAGAAATCAATTTTCGATCCTGCTTTAAGCTTGGGGCAGCCGTGAGGGGCGCCGGCGCGCGGCCTCGGCGACGCCGCTGCTTCGACGAGGGCCACAGACGCTTCGTCGAAGGCCCCGCTCGAGATCCGATGGCGGGGGCGGCGCAGCGCCCCCTGCTCGCGGCGGCGGGCCTGGCGGCGGCGGCGGGGGAGGCGCCCGTGCTGGCGCTCCCGGAGGCCCGCGGGCACGCGGTTTTGTGGAGGGGGGGAGAACGAGGGGGGGCGGATTGACATGACACAAGCAATGGGGGTGTGGGGGGGGGGGGAGCGAGAGGGGGCGGATTGACGCGACACAAGCAATACATTTTCAGACGATTTCCAAGCATGCGCGCTACACGTCCTTGAGCGGCGGGAGCGGGGTGGCGGAGCGAGCGGGAGGGGGAGCGAGCGGGAGGGCGGAGCAAAGGAGGGAGGGAGGGAGGGAGAGGGGGAGGGGGAGGCCGGGGGACTTGGCGGGGGGAATGGGAGCGAGGGAGGACCGGCAACAGAAAGAAAGGGGGGGGCTTTTTGTTCGCCGCCAGGCCCTCTGGGGACCAGGAAGGTCTTGCCGAAAATTGCACACGACCTTCCGTCGTGATTCTGTCGCGATGCGGGGTGGCCTGGGATCGGGGGGGGCGTTTGGACCAGAGTCTCGAGTAAGTCCAGCCACGGCGACGAGGGCGCCCCACGAAGCCCAAGGAGGGCGAAGAGCGGCCAAAACCATCGATCCTCGAAGTTCGATCTTCGAAGTCAGATCCTCGAAGTTCGACCCTCGAGGTTCCTCGCTGCGCGGACGCGCGCGCGATCGGCCTGTTGACAGGTGCCGCTGGAGGGGCTGCTGCGGGCGGACCCGGGCGCCGTCGAGGAGGCCTCCAAGGGGGGCGCCTGTCATGCGAGAATGAGGGTCGTCGAGGAGTGATCGAGGTCGGTCGGAGGGAATCAAGGAGGAGGATCAAAGGAGCAGGATGATCGAGGAGAGGGCCGAGGGGGGCGAGGAGGAGGGGGAGGAGGAGGAGGAGGAGGAGCAGGAGGAGGAGAACAAAAATAAGGACGAGGAGGAGGTTGTGGAGGAGGAGGAGGAGGAAAAGGAGGAGGAGGAGGAGGAGGGGAGGAGGAGGAGGAGGAGGAGGAGGGGAGGAGGAGGAGGAGGAGGAGGAGGAGGAGGAGGAGGAGGAGGAGGAGGAAGAGGAGGAGGAGGAGAGGAGGAGGAGGAGGAGGAGGAGGAGGTGAGGAGGCGGAGGTGGAGGAGGAGGATGAGGGGCTGGAGGAGGAGGAGGAGGAGGAGGAGGAGGAGGAGGAGGAGGAGGAGGAGGAGGAGGGGAGGAGGAGGAGGAGGAATAGGAGGCGGAGGAATAAGAGGAGGAAGATGAGGAGGAGAAGGTGGAGGAGGATGAGGATAAGGCTAAGGATAAGGATAAGGGTGATGATGGTGCTGCTGCTGATGATGATGGTGATGGTGATGGTGATGGTGATGATGATGCCGATATTGATAATGATATTGATGCTGCTGCTGATGATGCTGATGGTGATGATGGTGATGGTGATGTTGATGCTGCTGCTGATGATGATGCGGATGCTGCTGATGATGATGATGAATATGTTGATGCTGATGATAATGATGATAATGGTGATGGCGATGCTGATGATGATCATGCTGATGATGATGATGATGATGATGATGATGATGATGATGATGATGATGATGTATGGTGATACTGATGCTGCTGATGATGGTGATGCTGCTGGTGGTGATGATGCTGCTGCTGATGACGATGATGATGATGATGCTGATGATGATGACGATGGTGATTGTCATGGTCAGGGTCATGGTCATGCTCATGGTCATGGTCATGGTGACGATGATGATGATGATGATGATGATGATGATGATGCTGATGATGATGCTGATGATGATGATGCTGATGCTGATGCTGATGATTATGCTGATGCTGTTGATGATGATGATGATGACGATGATGATGATGAGGATGAGGATGATGATGATGATGATGATGATGCTGCTGATGATGATGCTGATGCTGATGTGATGATGATGATGATGATGATGATTATGATGATGATGATGATGATGATGATGATGAGGAGGATGAGGATGAGGAGGAGGAGGAGGAGGAGGAGGAGGAGGATGCGGGGGAGGAGAAAAAGGAAGATGAGGAGGCGGAGGAGGAGGAGAAGGAGGAGAAGTGATGAGGAGGCGGAGGAGAAGGTGGAGGAGCAGGAGAAGGAGCAGGAGCAGGAGGCCCTCCTGCTCCTCCTCCGCCTCCTCCTTCTTCTCCTCCTCCTCCTCCTTCCTCCTCCCTCCTCCTCCCGCGATTATATATTATCCGCGGCTCGCGCTCCTGCTGTCTCTGCAACTTCTTGGCCTCAAGCTCCCGTTGGGCGCGGCGCGGGCTGCCATCGAGGGAGCAGGGGAAGTGCTCTTGAGGGGGTTGCGAGCGGCGCTCTACGAGCGGCTCGTGGCCTCTCCCCTCCACCCGCTTCAGGGCCAGAGTGCGCCCCTCCCCGGGGCCACCTGGTCCAGCTAGGCGGACCCGCTGGGAGGACAGGGCGCCTGCTGTCCTCCCCCTCCCGCGGGCTCCGCCTGTCCCACCGTCTGCCTCGAGCTGGCGGTGGACCTGAGCTGCGGGGTCAGTCTTTGGCTGCTCTCGGCGGTCGTTGCCCTTCTCACGGCGGCGGCCGCGTGCAGTCTCCGCGGAGGCTGCTGCATCGGGGTCCTCATGGCCCGCTTGGGGGGGGCGCTCGCCCCCCGCCAGACGACCCGGCCCTCGAGCGGGCCCGAGCCTCACGGGTTCAGGTGGCTTGCAAGGCTGCCGCCGCCGAGTGCTGCTTGGCACGCGTGCCTCCTTCGCCTCCCTATCCCTATGCTTACGGCTACAGCGGATCTGCCAGGGCCTCCCATCCATAGTCGACGGGCCAGTCTGGCCCAACTTGTACGACCTCGCGTTTCCCCCAGCGCTGGGGTACCTGGCGCTTAGAAGACGGCGATTCCAGCTTCGCAGCCATTCCCTTGGCGACTCGCGAAGGGGGTATCCTCGTGACGCTGCTCGCCTCCCGGAGAGGCGGGCGGTGTCGCTGCATGATCGGTCCGTTCCAGATGGACGACGTTCCGCTAGTGGGTGCTGCTTCGCGCGCCTTGCACATCACGGCCTCGGTCCTTATCGTGGACCTCGAGGTCGCAGAGCTCGAGATCGAGTCTGTGTACGCCTTAACGGACGGCACAATGGCCTCACGCATTGGCCTCACCCGTCGGGTGTACGGACCCTGCGGGAAGGGTACCTCGCCATCCACGGTGTCTCTCCCGACGGCGATGAGGAGCCGCCTCTTGGCGCCGGCCGTGCAACGCCATGCCAGAAAGCGAACGAGGCGGGGCCCGATGCGGAGGGCACCGAGGGCGACGCCGACCTGCCGACCCTACGGGGCCCGCCAACTCTGCGGGCGGGGGCTCGCGCCCCTTCGCTGCTCGCAGCACCGCTGCTGCGGCCCCACCTCTGACGCTAGACGACACCGCGCCGATGACTCGTGCAGAGGTCGTCGCTGGGATGAGGATCATGCTGGCTCCTCTGGCGGCGGCCCGGCCTCTGGGCAGCGCGGCTCCTCTGGGCCCTGCCCGGAATGCTCGGGCCCCTTGCTTGCAGGTTCCCCAGCTGTCCGCCGATGGGGGCGGAGCTGCTGGGCCTGCAGCCGACGGCGGTCGAGGCCATGTTGGTCAGAGCCCCTGCCGCCCCGCCGCGCGTCCAGCCTCGCGCGCCAACGCCCGCCTCTGCCACAGTGGCCGGGCGGGGGAAGGGTCGCGGGAGCGCAACCCCCGCAGCGCCAGCAGCAGCCCCCCTGGGAGTCGCGCTGCCCCCGGGCCTGTGCCCTCCCGTTGTGGACTTCGGTCCCGTCGGAGGGGGCCGTCGGGGACGTCCTCGGGCCGCCTGCCGAGGCGCCTCAGTCCTCGCTGGACCTGGCGCCCACTTGCCCGCGGGAGGCACTGCTAGGCGCCCTGGGCGACCAGGCTCGGGGCCCGACGGCGGCGCCGCGCGATTGCAGCGCCCAGTCAAGCCACGCGCGAGGGGTCGCTCGGCGACGCGAGTGGCAGCGTGCGCTTGTCCAGCACGGCCACGCAGCACGCGAGATGTCGAAGGGCAATCTCGCTCGCGGCCCGGGCGCGGAGGTGCCCTGACCCCGATGGCGATGATCGGGCGCGTTCGGGAACGCGGCCCCCTTGGCGCCCAGGCGACGACGCGCGAGCTGCTGACGCATTGGGCGTGGCTCAGCACCGAGCTGTGGCCGGCAGGGGAGGAGGGCGGCGCCGATTGAATGCCGATTCTCCTGTCGTGCCAGTGCGCGTTCATCGATCAGCCGGCGGCGGTCCGCGGCCGCGTTCGCGGGGATGGGGGCCCCGCCTTCGCGGGCGACGCGACAACGCGCGGAGCGGGAAGCCCGGGCCCACTTCTCGCCACAGGTGGGCCCGCGGTGGCTGCCAGCCCAGGGCGAGCACGCAAAGAAATTGCAGGACGTCGCGCGCGCATCTCGACGCCGAGCGGATAGCTGCCGCGCCACAGATGCTGCCCGGTGCCCCGCGCGCCCCGAAGGGCCCCGAGGTTCCGAAACCCCCGCCCAAGGCGAAGGCGACGCCCAAGTGGCATCGCTTTGCGCGCGCGTGCTGCGCGCGCCATGCGCTAGCGTCGCGCGGCTGAGGTGAGCAACCGCGGCGAGTCTCTCTAAGCACCGCCTCCGCTGCCAGGCGCGCTTGGGCCGAGCGAGGCCGCGAGGGTAAGAATGCGCGCTGGCGGCGATGCTGTCGCGGCCCCGCTGGAAGAAGTTCGCCCCGCCATCGCGCCGTTCGCTCGGCTTCTCGCCACCCCTCCGCGGCGCCAGGCAAGTTGCCCGCGTCGAGCCTTTTGATCTCAAGGTCAGGGCGTCCCTCGTCAAATGGGATGGTTCGCCCAGCGTTCGATCCCAGCCATGACCTCTCAGACGAGCGCGTTCGCGATGCCCTCTTCGATCCCGAACATATGCGACCCCCCCGTCATCAGGTGGGCCCTCGAGCACGAAGGGGGCGCGCGTCCACGTGGGCCGCGCAGAGCTGCGTGGCCTGCTCCAGGAGTGGGGTGCCCGCGGCGCCCTGCAACTGGTCCCCCATTTCCGACATCACCTTGGGCGAAGCGTGTAGTGTTATGGGTTTCAGGGACAGCGACTCTGGTTGTCTGATCCTTATCCCGACGGTCGTACTCAGCCGCTGTGCGTCCATCTCCTCCAGCACGCAGCGTCTCGGGCAGGGTTTCTTGCTCTGCCTCATGAGCCTCGCGCCTGGGGAATTGGCTCGCTATCTCTTGCGATGGCTTGCGGTGGTTTTGCTGCGCGTTCCGCGCCGCCCCCCCTGCTCGCGCAAAGCGGAGCGCTCTCCGCCTGCACCCCCCCAGGGATCGCTGCAAGCCCTTCCGTGCCTGGCGGCCCGAGCGCGAAGGTTCGAATGGCGCCCCGCGCTTGAATGCTCTTGCCATGGGCGACAGCGCGGCGGTGGAACTTGCCGACGCAGCTCACGAGGGCGCAGCTTCTGGGCTCTCCGCCCCCATGAGCAGTCTGTGTGCCGATCGCCGTCCCCTGGGGGCCTCCGCGTCGAGATGCCGGACCTCGATGGTCACGCGGGCTTCCGAGAGCTGTCCTGGAGCGGCCCCGCTCCCCGCCTCGGCGATCCCAGGCGTCGTGGCCGCGAGGTCTTCGCGGCATGCGATCGCGGGTCTCCTCGGGCGGGGTGGGCCTGGCGCAGCACCCCTGGAAGCGCGCTCGAAGCGTGGCTCGAGTCTGCGGTGGGCGCCGAGATCGAAGGTGGGATGGGGAGCGTCTGTGCCCCACTCGTTCGCACGGTGGCCCTGCGCGGAAGCTTGCCCTTGCTCATGTCTACCTCGGCTTCTCTACGCGCGCCCTCTTGGCATCACCTGTTGCTGAGGAGGAGGAGGAGGAGGAGGAGGTGGAGGAGGGCGGCCCTGGACACAAGACTGGCGGTGCGCAGGGCGCTCTGCGGAGGAGGAGGAGGAGGAGCAGGAGGAGGAGGACGAGGAAGAGAAGCAGGTGGATGAGGAGGAGAGCAACGCTATGATGATGCTGCTGCTGCTGATGATGATGGTGGTGGTGATGATGATGGTTAGGTATGATGGTGATGGTGATGATGATGCTGGTGATGGTGATGATGGTGATGATTAGGATGCTGATGATGCTGATGGTGTTGATGATGGTGATGGTGATGGTGATGGTGATAATGATGGTGACGATCATGATGATCATGTGATTGCGATGATGATGCTGCTGCTGCTGTTGCTGATGCTGTTGCTGATGATGATGATGATGATGATGATGATGATGATGATGATGATGATGATGATGATGATGATGATGATGATGATGATGATGATGATGATGGTGATGGCGATGGTGATGATGCTGATTTTGATGATGATGATGATGATGATGAGGAGGAGGAGGAGGAGGAGGAGGAGGAGGAGGAGGAGGAGGAGGAGGAGATGGAGGATTGAGGAGGGGGAGATATCCGAGGCATTCCCCAGACCGACTCTGCCCGACGGGGGATTGGGAGAGGGAGGGAGAGGACTGAAACGCGAAGAAGGAGGAGGTGGCAGGGGACGCCGGCGAGAGTGTGGAGGACGAGGGGGACTAGTTTGGCAAGGAGGCAGAGGACGAGGTGGACGCTGAGGATAGGAATGGGAGCAGCCCTGGGGCGCCGCACCACACGTCCACTTTGAGGATGAGGAGGAGGAGGATGACAACCAGGTCGAAACCGGCCCAGGGCGCCAGCCAACTCGACGGCTTACACGATGCCCGACCCGACCTCCCCAGCGCCACCCGTCGGATGGGGTTGCTGGCTCGGCTGTCTGCCTCCTGAGGAGGCCCAGGCGAGGACGAGCAACGTGGGGGGGAGGACCGCCGCTTCTCGATTGGCCCTCCGAGAAGAAGGGCGCCACTGGATTCGGAGGGGCGGAAGAATGATGGGCCTGGTTTCCACCACCACCACCATAAGTTGGAGGGGGAAGGAGGAGGAGGATGAGGAGGAGGAGGAGGAGGAGGAGGACCCCCTCCCCCTCCAACTAATGGTGGTGGTGGTGGTGGAAAACAGGCCCATCAGGAGGGGTGGAAGAAGGGGGGCGGGGGAACCGCCGCGGGGCCCCAGGCGCGCAGGGCGCTGTCGGAGCTCGGGCTCCTGGCCGTGGTGGGCGTGGACGACGGCGAGGGCGGAGAGCCGCTGGGTGCCGCGGCGGACGCGGCGCTGCGGGGCTGGGCCGGGTGCCTGTCCGCGGGTGGCCGGCCAGCGAGTTCCAAAGGAGAATCAGACGGCAGAGGCACAGATCGCGCAGATCTCTTGGGTCCGCGCAGATCTCGTGGGTCCTTCGCGTGCCAGGGGCCGCGCAGGAAGCGCCGCCAAGGGGGTGCAGCGTTGGTCCAACAGATCTGCGCCGCTGACCTCCGCAAGTGGATTCCCTAAGCAGTGCTTGCGCTGAGGGGTTCTGACTTGCGCTTCTAGGGAATTGTGCGGATACGCAGAGGATCCGCCACGTTGCCGCCTCGTTGACGCCTGTACGTAGGCGTTTGCCGAGGCTGCGCCGCGTTGCCGCCCGCTGCCGCCCTTTACCGCCTGTGGGGGTATGCCGGGGATTCGCCGCGTTGCCGCCTGTTGCCGCCCCCTGCCGCCTGTGTTGGTATGCAGATGATTTGCCGCGTTGCCGCCCTCTGACGCCTGTTGGGGTATGCCGAGGATTCGCCACGTTGCCGCCCGTTGCCGCCTGTGCGGGTATGCCCGGCATTCGCCCCTTTGCCGCCCCTTGCCGCATGTGGGGGAACGCCGAAGATTCGCAACGTGGCCGCCCGTTGCCGCCCCTCTGCTGCCTGTGTGGGTGGGTGCCGAGGGTTCGCCGCGTTGTCGCCGTTTGCCGCCTGTGGGGACATGCCGAGGATTCGCCGCGTGTGTGCCGCGGATCCGCCACGTTGCCGCCCGTTGCCGCCTGTGGGGGAGGATGCCGAGGATTCGCCACGTTGCCACCCGTTGCCGCCTGTGGGGGTATGTCGAATATTCGCAACGTCGCTCGTTGTCGCCCGTTGCATCCGGTTGCCGCTTGTGGGAGTACGCTGACGATTCGCCACGTTGCTGCCCGTTGCTATTTGCGGGGGTATGCCGAGGATTCGCCACGTTACCGCCCAATGCCGCCCCGTTGCAGCCTGTGGCGGGAGATGCCGAGGGTTCGCCACGTTGCCGCCCATTGCCGCCTCTGTGGGTATGCCGAGGATTCGCCACTTTGCCGCCTCGTTGTCGCTTGTGGGGGTATGCCGAGGATTCGCCACGTTACCGCCAGTTGCCGCCTGTGGGGATATGCCGACGATTCGCCACGTCGCCCGTTGCCGCCCGTTGCCAGCCGTTGTTGCGTGTGGGGTCATGCCGAGGATGCGCCGCGTTGCCGCCTCGTTGGCGCTGCACCGCATGGGTTACAATCTGAAAGTTCAACAACTCATTGTTTGGAGCCCACGCTGGGAAACATGTGAATGCCGCTTCTTGTTCCTGGAGAGATCGGTGGTGATATTTCTTCCCGATCTATGAGGGGGGAAGCCTCCCAGGCCCTGGATGGGGTACATTTCGGATCGAGTTTCCAGGTCTTTTGGGCGCTTCGCGGCCCTCTCTCAGCCTAAAGGAAGTGTCGCGTCGCCGCTTCTGTGGAGACACTCCGGGGTCGCCGCTGCCGCCGCCCCGGCCGCCGCCGCGGTCGTCGTTGTTGTCGTCGTCGTCATCGTCGTCGTCGTCGCGTCGTCGCTCACGAACCGCCAGGCTCGATGACCAACCCCCATCTCTCCCCCACCCTCTTCCGCACCCTCTCCCCGCACTGGAATGGCTAGTTCGATGAATGCGCGAAACCTGCCCCTGAAAGCCGAAACAGTACAGACATCCGTGGTTGCTATCTAACGCTGCTATGCTGCGAACGGCCTCCAAACATACCAGGGTTTTGCCCGGTACCGAAGTTCTCTGAAGTTTCATCGTACACCTACCATATCAGTCTTATTATACTTTCTACGGTACCTGTTGACCGAATGACTGAAACTGTAACGGAACACCGAAATACTACAACAATTGAGCGCTAGCGGAGCCCGGAATCCAGCTCAAGGGGAGAGGAGTATTAGGAAGAGTGTGAAAACGACGGCTGGCTGCAGCGCGCCTCAGGGACTAAGTACTGCATGTCCTCACTGAGAACGTCCTGCTCCGAATAGTCACAAGTCTGCTCTGATTATTCATCAGCAATCTTTGGATATTCATTGGGAATCTCCACCAATCTCGTATTGAGTTCACTCACGCTCATTGCTGCAGATCCGCAGATCCGGTGGACAACCCACAAGCTCCATGCATGCAGCAATATCCACAGTGCCTGGCAAAGAATACTGGATTGTCTGCTTTGAATTTTGAAATCTCATCCGCAAATCGTGGGGTGTTGCCGAACTTCTCGATGTTCAAAAAGTCTGGTTCCGTGTGCTCTACTGGCCTATGGTGACTACGCCTTGCTGTTGTCGTCTTGGGTGGCAAAACCATGTCCAACCATCCTGTAGTCAGCAACTTCATCATTGTCTGCTTGAACACTCCCAGTTTAGTCATCGCATCTGCTACCGTGACCTCCTTAGGAACATGAATCGTCCAGCGAGTCCTCGTGGTGATTCTTTCCTCACGCAGTGCCATCACTGGTAAACGCTGTTGTTTGTCTTAAGTAACTCCGCGAAGTCCAGTGACGAGATCAAATACGTCTGTGCAATCAGTGGAGTGATCGATCGCAACATCGTAAGCTCCTCTGGTACCGATGTCCGTCATCACCTTGATCCTGCCGTTCTGCGCAATGTCATGATCCATCTGCATTGTCGTGATCCGAAGTGCTAGCATGTTCGCGTTGCTGCCCACACTCAAGCACAATTGGTTTCTCGCATAGATGTCGACTGGCAACCTGATTCGCCTTGCTCGACAGAATAGCCTTTGGATGACAAGGCTTACTGAGACAATTCTTGTTCTTCACCGCGTCAGTTTTGTTGTCCAGCAATACTCTTGGACTTTACATCAGAAGAGTGACCTGCCCCTCTTGTGGACAAGCCATCATCTTCGTTGCGTGATTCGCATATCCAATCGCCCTGATACAGAAAGGTCCCGCCAATCGTGGATACTGTAGTCCAACATTGTGATTATCGGCAAGAGCATTCTTCTGATCTGACCCGCCGTCTTCAAGTGCATGACCTTCGGCTCGTTGTTGGATATATGAAGATGCGTGACCCCTGTCATGATATGCACATTGCATTGCACTGGCACAGCAAGAGTAAGATCGCTGACATGCTTCTGGAGCCATGCGCATGCTGTGCCGAAAACAGCTTGTCGTCATCTAGATTCGGAACCTCGCACATATTGGTGTTGCTGAGTGGGGGTTGTGGATGATGTTGCACCTGGGGTACTTCATGACATAACTCTGCCCAGGCTTACTCACTGCCAGGAAAAAGAAGACGTGCGCAAAGCTATCTGTCAGAAGACATGTCAGGATCCCCTGGTCATCCATGCTCCGTCCGTGAAAAGATGCATGTTGAATTCGCACTCATGTAGGCTTATGGCACCACCCTGCCACAACCGAAACCGCCAGCTCCCGCAGGACGACGCGGAAGACGAACAATTCAGGTGTGGCCCAAAAAATGGGCAGGTCGGCTGCCCACGAGGATGGTCCATGTCGTGTGGCCCCTGGGGGGGCCTACGCCCCTCGAACCCCGGGGCCCCGCCTCGAGCTCACTTCGGGTGGGCGCCGCGGGAGCGGCCCTTGCCACCTCCCTTCTCCCGCCGCGGTTGCTTCTTGAGGAAGCCCCATATCTCCTCCTCCGCCTCCGTCCCGCACTGACGCCGGAGGGTGATCTCGACCGGGCCGGTCTTGTTCAGCCTCAGCACAGCATGCACCATCACGTCCTTCACCTACTGCGTGACCAGATCCGAGAAGCTCAGCGTAAAACGCCAGGCCCAGTCCGGCACCAGGGAGGCGAACTTGGACGACAGCCCGCCGACCATAATGCCCACCATCTCCGCCTGGATCGCCTGGAGTTCCTTGGTTCCGTCCATGAGCGGCTGCAGGGACTTCTGGTAGTTCTCGTCGGCCGAGGCATCGCGCATTGCTCGACCTTGCTCCACACCACGGCCCATATGTAGACCTTCTTGCGGGGGTACTCGAACTCCGGCACCTGCGTCATGTCCTCGGTGGCCTTGTCCCTGGCCTTTTTGAACTAACCCCACTTTGCGTTCCACACGTCGCTGAGGCCCCTCACGCTCTCATTGTACTCCTCCCCCCTGAAGAGGACCACAAACTGCTTCGAGTTGACCACCTCGTTGGCGTCTTTCTTGAAAGACAAGCAGTCCCGAACCATGCAAGTGACCACCCTCGGGCATTCGCCGGCGCTCCGGGCGCCCCGGGAGGCCTGGGCCCCGCCGCCGGCTGCCTGGTGGCCGGTCTGGCCCTTCTTGCTGTTAGGCTCTTTGCCCTCCTGCGCCACCTTGGCCTTCGCCTCCTGGAGCAGCTCCTGCGCCGTCTTCGGCATCTGGCTGTGGGGCGAAACGGGCTGGCAGCGTGGAGTCCTCGAAAGCGAAGCCGTGCTCCCCCTGCTTGAGCCTAAAACCAGCGATTCGGTGTCTTTCAGGTCGGTCTCAGTGTCCTGGTGATCTCCTGCTGGTACTGCTGGTATTTCTGGTGGCGTTGTTTGTTATTGTTCCAGTGGTACTTCTTGCAGCGGTACAACTGCAGGCTCTTGAGGATCCGGTGGTTCGATGACCTCTGTCTCATGAACCTCGTCGTCAGAATCTCCAGGAGGTTTGGCAAGAACAGGTGCGGCCGGTTGCGGTGCGTCTCTCGCCCTTGAACCAGCCATTTTACATTGTCCTTGTATTCTGGCATGAGTTTCGTCAGTCTTGCTACCAAGCTTGCACCTCGGACAAGACCGGAAAATGAAGTTTGTCTCCTTGATGGTGTTCACGTCGTAGTAGGTAGGCTCTTGCGTTTGCGTTCGCTCCGGTGATCTTCACGAGATCCTTGCCAGCCATGTCGCACAACGCTTCTGGATATACTGCTGCTCGTGCTGTTCGGTGAACTCCTGCAGTATGACCAACGAACTGTCCGTTAGGTCCCGTGCACCGACAATGTCGTGCAACTCCTCGCATAATGAGAGTGCGCAGATATTGGGTATTCTTTTTGATCGGCTCTCCATGTTCATTAACCGCTCCGAATGGACAATTGTCATCAAGGTGGTGGCGAAG